AATCAACTTAAATTACATTTCAAGGTTTCATTATTTATTGCCATACACTTTAATTCAAAAGTCACTAATTGAAACTCACACAAGCCATAAACCATGCTGAAGGTATTTTTACTAAATAAATAAGAAGAGTTGACCTAAACTGCCACTTTCCAAATGAGCCTAGAAAATCTTCCACTGCATCACTTTTCCGCATTTTTATCACAGATCAATTCGTAGAACTAACAAGCAAAAATCAGCTGAGCACAAATTATTTCAATCTACTTAATAAAACTGCGATCGATAAGAGAATTGAATTGGGAAAAGAATTTTATTCTCACAGAATATCAGATTTGTTTATCTGAAATTAGAATAAAATGAACAAAAATTCAATGGCATGATCAAAATAGAACAACATTAAATATATTTATAGCGAAAATATTACTTAACGTCTCTGACAAATATTTTAAGCTATTGACCTATATGTATTTATAAATAAATAATTATGTTATAATTATGTTATAATTATGTTCAATTGAAAAGGATTCTATCATTTAAACGCACTATTAATTATCACTGAAAATATAATGTCAATGCTTGCACTCATTTTAATTAATTACAATTTGCTATATCAAAGTTTCAATAAAATTCTCAGTGTTTCCTCTCCGAACTATTAAACGACTCTGAATTAAAAAAAAAACTCACACAACAATTGTATTGTTTGGCGTATTCTAGAGGAACGTCATAATCAATTAAAAATTTATCGAATCGATTGATTGCAAAACACAAGGAAAGTCAAATTGTTTTTGAATATCAGTTAGATATCTGTTTATCAATAAACCTCATAAAATAAAATTATTTTATGGTCATATAAACTTTCTTGTTTATTTATTTATGTTATCCTGCTGCAATTTCCTTAAAAGAAAGCTCCATTACTATTGAACTACCCAAGAAAGAAACAATCTAATCTAATCTAATCTTTTTTAATCTTATCTAATCCACATGTGGACACTTAACTTGGTTGCCTAAAAATATTTTGTTTGATGATTTAAATGCACAATAATTATGATGAAGTGAATGTAAATACGGTTTTCAGACTATAAGAAGATATTTATTCTTTGATTTTATTCCATCTGCTAGTTTCGATGACAAAATGTCATCATCATCAGGATCTTCTTCAATATTTTATATAAAAATTAAAAATGAATCGCACTCAAACCTTGTTATCAAAAACTAGAGAACTTTCTCAAATTAATTTTACGAATTTCAAAATGTGGACGAGTGTTGCAAATTAATCATGAAAACTTGCCAATGACCTTAAAAATAGTGGAAAATATTTTTTAAAATAAAATTCAAATCTTCAAGAGTATCCTTCAAAAGGCATTCGTTATCGAGATTTTGCGAATTATTATAAAAATTTAAACACACTAACGAAAGAAATTTTCAAAAAACGTTAGACTGGTAAGATTATTGTCTTCTATTTCTTTAAAGAGAAGATTTTCTAGAATAACGATCTACAAAATATATTTTAGTTTTATGAGGAAGTGTGCGTGATGTTTGAATGCAAATAGCAACCAATAAAGATGCAAAGATGTTCATTACTGATGTTATAACTTGTGGCACTGTACAGAAAGAAATTGAAATGAATGAATTGTGTAAAAAGTTCTTATCATCTACCTAATTGTCCATAAATGACGAAGAATCCAATAAACGGTGCAATCATCACCAACGTTCTTGAGCATGTCACACCAGAATAGTTGCAAGTTTTCCGCTTTTCCTTGGGAACAATTTCACTCATTGACGTTATAAATATTGACAGACTTGTTGAAACAGTCATTTTAGCTGTCATTGCAGTTGCCATGTAGATCATCATTCTCTCAGTTGGTGCAATTGTGTCTGGTACAAAAATAGCTGAGATTGAAATAATTGATGCAAGAATATTCAGGAGACTCGTCCAAAGCCATTTTTGTGTTGTGTGAAGAATCAAAATTAATCCAATAAATGTTCCAATGATTTCACTTGTACCAGCAATGATTGTGTTAATTTCTAAATATTTCCTGCCCATCGCTCTCACATGTAAAAGCAAAGCGAAGTAAGTCATCAAGTAAATCGACCATCCGATGTGTGCAGCAAATAGACGAATTTTAAATGTTAAAGTTCCTTTCCAAATTGACAGCAACGTTGGTTCTGAAGGATGTTTTTGCATCTCTTCAGCCAACAAACTCAACTCTTTATCCAATTCATCTTCATTGTAATCAGTTTTCCCATTGAAATTTGCAGCATCTAAAAGAACTTTCTTTGCATCGGCAACACGATTATGTTTCAAAAGCCATCGTGGTGAATCAGGAATCCAATAATAAAGAATAATCAATGAAAATGTGGGAATTGATATTGCTATGTAAACAGTTGTCCAACTTTTCCACCAGCTACTAACAGCAGGTAAAAGGATAACTCCAATCGACCAAAACTGCTCGAAAAGGCAAATCGAAATTATTCGATATTTTCCAGCAGTTATGTCTGAAACTTTAAGCAAAATTAAGAATTATAATTTCCTTGATTCACATTTCTTACCAATCATAATTCCAATGCACATTAAAGAACATGTCGCTGCTACACTGCATCGGAAGATCAAATGAAGAATGTAATTAGGAGCGTAACCTGTAGCAAGACCGAGTGGAATTTGTGAAATCATTCCTACTAGCATCGTTTCACGTGGGCTGCATCTGAAATCAAAAGCAATTTTGGACTCAATTATCGTCTGCATAAGTTTCGAGATAATCCATTTTACTTCTTTAACATGTAGAAAGCAATTATGCCACCGATTAGAACACCCAACAAATGAAATGATTGTGAGAGTGCTACTAAAGCTTCACGCGAACATAAAAGTTCATATTGATTGATGATTGAAGCATAAACTGTTTGGTGTTGAAACTTCACACAAGGAATTGACTCTCTTGTCGCTTCATCTTCACGAACAGAATAATTCAGGTAAGCATCTTGATAAACGTAGCAATAATCGTAAGATTCTTCATTCTCGATTCTGTTAAAGCTTTCTTTATGAATTGAATTAATCCAAAAGTTTGTGTCATTTAGTTCAATTCCAATTGGCGGGGAACAGAAAATTTCGCCTGGCATGGGGCTTTTAGCTGTGAAAATCAACTTAAATTACATTTCAAGGTTTCATTATTTATTGCCATACACTTTAATTCAAAAGTCACTAATTGAAACTCACACAAGCCATAAACCATGCTGAAGGTATTTTTACTAAATAAATAAGAAGAGTTGACCTAAACTGCCACTTTCCAAATGAGCCTAGAAAATCTTCCACTGCATCACTTTTCCGCATTTTTATCACAGATCAATTCGTAGAACTAACAAGCAAAAATCAGCTGAATCAATTCAATCGAATAGAATTCTATCATTTATACACAACTAAGAATCGTTAAATTTAATGTCAATGTTTGCACTCATTTCAATTTAAAAAAAATATATTATGTCAAAGTTTCAATGAAATTCTCAGTGTTTCCTCTCCGAACTATGAAACGACTCTGAATTTAAAATAAACGCATTCAACAGACGAGAAAGTTTTTATTTGTTTATTGTTTATTTTATAAATTATTAGGATTCCATTCTTTATAATTCTATCATTGCCAAATTCTATCATTGCACAGTGGAAACTTTTCTTTGAAAGAGCGGTCTTTATTAGATAACTTCTTATTTATATGTCCATCGAATGTCAATCTAAAACAATCTAATCTAATCTAATCTTTTTTAATCTTATCTAATCCACATGTGGACACTTAACTTGATTGTTTAAAAATATTTAATTTAATGATTTTAAATGTACAATAATCATTTCATCAAGACATTAAAGGAGTATTTATTAACTCATATGAACACGATACAATGAATACATCTCGTCTAATTGAAATAGAGTAAATAAAACACCGTAATTTATTACACAAACTCGAATGAACCTTTTCGATGACTCTTTCATTATGAGAAAGTAAAATATTTCAATAATAAATACAAGAAGACAAACACCTTTCAAGAACATGTAAAGTAGAAAGTTGCAAATAAGTCGTGGAATTGAACTTTGATGTTTCCTCAAATATTGAAGACATCAACAGATTATAAAAGGGAACACATGAAGATGATAATCTAAATTATAAATTCGAAAAATTTGTCATCACTCACTTCCCTATTTGACTGCCCCAATGTTCTTTTTCTCAACTCCAAATGAAAATAAAGAAGCTCAAATAGAAAACACAAACAACAAATAAACATTTGAAATAAATACAAGTAAAAGGTTGATGCCAGATCATTTAATTGAATTACTTTATCGTCATCACGTGAAACTTTTCCTGCTTTAACTCTTTGAATCATTAAAATTTTGTTACTGTCATCGGCTCGGGAAAATTGATATTTGGTTATTCCAATTTCTCTAATTACATTTATCCAAAAGTTGAAGCATTCAATGAATGGCGAATGTTTTGGTGCTAATTGCGATGCATAATCTTCATAAATTGGTTCCGTAACTGATTCAAATTTATTTACTCCTGTTTTGCTGTCATAATATCTAAGGAAATATTACAAAATTCCTATATGTATATATTGAATATTTTAATTGAAAATTTTTCTTCACCTGTCGGTTATAATCGATGTTGCTCTTGTTGTCAAATAAGCGACTCTTGGTACATTCAAAACTTTTCTTAGACCTTCTCCATAAGTTTCGACGAGTTCTTTGCGATTATATGCCACTTCTCTTAGCTTATCACTGTATTTACTTCCACCTTGTTTTATGAAAATCATTGCCAAAGATTTCCTCATGGTCATGTTGTAATTTTCATTTATGAGTTGATCAAACGTTTTAATTTCATTATTCTGTTGACTCCGACTCAGATTTTTTGTAATTGTTCCTTCAAACAGTGAAGAAATCATCAAGTTATAAAAGAGAACAACAGCGACCACCATTCGCGACGAAATATGAGTGGAATGTTGCATTGAGACGTTAAATATCAATGCGTAAACATAGAAAATATTCCTTGGAATTGTTTTCTCGCTTTGTGAAGCCATCATCTTCGATTCCATTTTGTTTACTACTACATAAATCAAAGGCAATAAGAACATAAGTGCAGTAGCTGTAGCGTAGGCCCAGTTGTCGTATTGAAAGAAAATTGATGTCATATGAAGTTTGTAAGTTTTCCGTTTCTTGATTATAAAGTAAAGACTTTTGATTGCAATTGGTTGAAGAAAAATCATTTTCTTTGTACCATAATCAGCAATGAATATTGGATTGACTGCTAACTCTACAGAATTGTCTTCGATTAATCCTAGACTTCCTGTGAAACTTCCGTTTGGTAGATTAAATCCTTGACGAGATCCATCAACCGAAGTTATATAAATCGGAGTAAAATTCATTACAAACTTCAAGATTTTTATTGTTTCCCCAACTAGAAATCGATACTCAATTATTTTCCCTTGTTTATTTTTCACAGCATTACTGAGAAGAGGTTCTTCAAATATATTAACACGTAATGGGAATTGATGAAGATTTCTTACTCTTGTCTCGATGAAAGTGTCGATCGCCACGAAAGGTTTGCTTTCAATTGAGATGTTGAAACATCGAAATTCTGGTGACCTCATAATTTTGTCACCTTGAAATGGATTATATAAGCAAATTGAAAATTTAACTTCACTGAATTGATCGATTTTCATCAAAATTGCTACGTCAAGCATTTTAAACTTCTCATATCCGATTTGAAGAAGTTTCCTTGCTTCACTGAAGTTTGATGACCTTAAAGATATCAAAGTTTTCACTCGTGGGTTGTAATCTGAGATTTGTTTAAAAAGTTGAAGAGCCTCACGGTAAGTGCAAGTTAGGAAAAATCCTCGGCTCCGAGAATGAGCTGATAATCCACTGTCGACAACTTTATCTTCAATGTTCACTTTATTCCATTTATTAAAGACGTAAATCGAAATTGAATCAAATTGATTACAAATATTTGTATTAAAAAATGAATCTTTTGACAAATCAATAACAAAAATCGAACGTTGTTTCTCAAAATAATGAAGAATTGCTTGAGATGATATTTTCGTTTCATTCGCGCAAATAAGTTCTTTGATTGTTTCATCGAAAATTTTATTTAACTTCACTAGCACAAATAAATGAACAAGAACTTGAATAGTCTTCATCGTTTGCCTTCACTTTTATAAATAAAAATTGAATTTCATTCATAAGCCTATCGGATCGACCAACCTATCGGAAGTAAATAAAGTTCATAAAAGATAAAAGAAATTTTGTGTACAAGGCGTGATTGAAACTTCCTTCTTTCACACATGAATCGTAAATATGTAGGCATTTTGTCAGTTTTACGAAATTCTACTTATAATAATTCTACAATCATACAATTAAGTTTTCCATTTCGGCAGTTGAATTGTTATTCTTTAATGAAAATATGAGATTTTGTAAAAAATTAGTTTAAGTTTTAATAATTATGATTAGCACATTTCATCAAACTCCTTTTCAATATTTAATTAAATTCCTTCACTTTATGAATTTTTCACATTAATTACAGAGAACATCTTCATCATATGTTACTGTTCACATAATTTAATTATTTTTATGCTGTTTTTTCAATTAATTTGAGTTAGTTAATTTGGGTTATTGTGGTAATTTTGTTGACATCAGTGACGTTTAATAAAATTTGCTTTTTTATAGTAAGCACTCGAATGGGTTACGGAAAGTTTGGTATGTGCTGCTTTGACAGTCATCGCGACACATTCAAAAATGTTTAAGCTTTTCATTATTTTTCTTACTCTTTATTCAGTTGCATCAGGTGAAATTGAAGTAGAAAAGGATCCACCAAAACTAGTTTTAATCGAAAGTATTTTGAGAAAGTATCTGGTCGATCAAGAGTCATTAACAATTTTCGATACTGGGAAATCTAAAAATGTATTCAAATATAAAAGTCAATTTCTAAGCATTTTCCATTCGATCCTACCATGCATTACTTACCGTAATTTAAATGATTCTCTTGTGAGAAAAATTAGTGACATGGGAAATGAAATATCACTTCCAAGTACATCTAAAAGCTATCTGGCTCTGGGAAGTTATTCAATATCATCACATTTGCCACTCTATGCGAAAATCAACACAAACGGAAAATGGATATTTTTACTGATTGAATTAAAACATGTCCAAGTTGAAAGAATTTTAATCAATGCTTGGACCAATCACAAAATGGCAAATATTCTAGTTTTCTCTCTAGATAAACGTTTAAAACTGTTTGTGACTTCCTTCAATCCATTCAAGAAGCAAGGAAATAATTATGGAACATTTTGGTCTATGCAAATCAACAAAGAAAAGTTTTCGACGATCTTAAAAGCAGTGGAAAATATTTTTGAAAATAAAATTTCTAATCTTCAAGAATATCCATTGAAAGGTATTTTTTTTCGAAAGGAAGATTATCTTGACGAAATAATGGTAGACATTTTTCAAAAGGCGTTTAATGTGAAGTATGAAATTGTTTTACCTCGACATGGAAATTTTATTGGGACNTTTAAATGATTCTCTTGTTAGAAAAATTAGTGACATGGGAAATGAAATATCACTTCCAAGTACATCTAAAAGCTATCTGGCTCTGGGAAGTTATTCAATATCATCACATTTGCCACTCTATGCGAAAATCAACACAAATGGAAAATGGATATTTTTACTGATTGAATTAAAACATATCCAAGTTGAAAGAATTTTAATCAATGCTTGGAACAATCACAAAATGGCAAATATTCTAGTTCTCTCTCTAGATGAACGTTTAAGGTTGTTCGTGACTTCCTACAATCCATTCAAGAAGCAAGGAAATAATTATGGAACATTTTGGTCTATGCTAATTAATCATGAAAATTTGTCAACGATCTTAAAAAAAGTGGAAAATATTTTTGAAAATAAAATTTCATATCTGCAAGAGTATCCTTTAAAAGGTGTTCGATCTGGAGATTTGACGGAATTTCATAAAAACTTAAACGAACTTATGAAAGAAATCTTTCAAAAAGCGTTAAACATGAAATTCAAAACTGTCGCTCCTCGAGATGGAAAAAGAATTGGGACTCGTTTGCCTAATGGATCGTTCACTGGTGTGCTCAAAGACATTGAAGATGGTGCTGTTGATATTGGGTTGAATAATAAGCTTTTAGTGCCAATGAATTTTACAAATTGCACATTTCTTAATCCGGTGGTTACATCTGATTTCAGATATTTAACATCAAAGAAATCTCCCGCCACCACATATCTTTTTTATAACGTTCTGCAAGCATATGACTTAGAAACCCGCTGGATGTATCTTGTATGTTTAATTATCACCTTGTTCTGTTGGTATTTCTTGGATTTTATTCACTATCAATCGATAAATGTCTCCAAAAGAGAAGAGATTGGCAGCTTGCTTATGATTTTTATAGCAATTCAAACATCCTCAACATTAAGTGTTAAGGATAATGGCCCATCACATCAAAGGATACTCGTTGGGTCTCTTCTTATCGTTTCATTGATAATGTGCAATGCTTTTCAAGGTGAAATTCTTCGTAATTTGAGAAGTCCACAAAAATCACCAGACATAAACTCACTTGAAGATTTGTTGCAAAGTGATTATAAACTTACAGCATTCATCGCAGTGCCTGATTTATTTCAACCTGATGAAAACGATTCCAATGTCAACCAGATTCAAAAGAGATTGTATTACCGACAAAATATTTCTTTAAATATATCTAATTTAGGATGTAAGCCTCTTATGAGAAACCCAAAACAAGCATTTTTAAGTAAGTTTGTCATAATTACGACAACCAAATTATTATGGTAAAATGTGATAACAATTAAACATTTCTAACAGTGCGTGGAGAGCTTGCTAAAAGTTTTCTAAATGTTGAAATTAACAATGCAACTGGAGAAGATTTCTGTCATATTGTGAAAGAGTCGCCAATTTCATTCTTCTTAACTTATATCGTTCCAAAGACGTCCCCTTTCATCCGAAGACTAAATCGAGCGATTGCAGAAGCGAAGGAGTTTGGATTCATCGAGATAGCTAAGAAAAAAACCGACGCAATTCTGAAACAGCGACAAGCCAAACGACTGAAAGTTTTATTAAAAGCTGTTCAAAATCATCCACCAATTTCAATTGAAAATTTGAAAAATGTTTTAATTTTTTAT